AACCCTAGGTTCAAGGTCGGAGTCCCCTGAACCTTGTTTTTGGTTGAGACACTCTGCTCCCCTGACAGAACTAGACACGTGCGAACATAGTCAGTCTCCATCGCTTGTTGTTGCTGCTGCTCCAGTCGATAGAGGCGACGTTTTTGCTGTGGGAGTGTAAGCTCGTGGTTGGGGACACTGTCTGGTGGATCTGTCCCATCTTCCTGGAGGTCGGCTACCTCAGCCAAGAGGGCGGTATGATCATCCTCGAGCTTCCGGTAGCGGGTGTTGAACTCTTCATATTTGAATTTGTAGGTGAATTCATGAGCTGCTGATGGGGTTGATGGCTGTTTGGAGATGATCTTCCTAATGTCCCGGAGGTCAGTGCGGATTTGCTTCATCTCCTCGAGCTGAGTTCTAGTTGGTGGTTTAAAGGCTTGTAAAACTCCTTCTTGACTACTCCCCAGGTGTATATGAAGGAATCTTGCTTGAGAAGATGCTGTGCAATGTCAGCTGGTGTTGGGAAGTGGTTCGCTTGCTCGCGGTACATGTGTTGATCGAGGGCTTCGAACAACTTGCGGGTGCAGTAGCTTGGGTTGCGGAGTTTATCCTTGTATTCCTTCCTGATCTCATCGTAATCACGGCATACCTGGCTCTGTGGCTGAGGCATGGCTGCTGCTCCTACTCCTACTCCGTGATCCTGGTGTATCTCGCTAGGGTTCGCTGTGTTCTTGCTAGGAGTTGAAGTTGCTGGAGGCTTAATCTGCTTCATTGGATGTGGGTGACGTGGTTGGGCTGGATTCTTTGAGGTGGGTGGAGAGGAGCTTTTCGGTTTGATGCTGGATGAACGGCCTAGATGTGGCGCTCAAATTAATGTATCTGTTGGCAAATTTTTCTCTTGGAATTTTGTTGAAGGGGCAGATAATGCTGGTCGTGGCATTTGCTGGAGTAGGCATGGTTCCATGTTCTGCAAGTGATTGGCGAAGGTAGTTGATGTTTTCTTTTGTGGAACGTGTTGAGGAGGTTGGGGCAGTGAGAATGTTGTTCTTAGCTGGTGGAGAAACTGAGTTCTGGGCGAGCAGCTGATGTTTTGCTTTGGCGATGTTGATGTGTTTGTGAGAAGTTGTCGGTTTTGGGGCTGATTCGAGTGGATTTGGGCTCTGGGGTGAGTGTGGAAACTGGTGTGAGTTGTCTTTATTGTCGCTGATGACGAGGTGCTCTTGGATCAGCGGTTTTGGAGCTGGATTCGTTGGTGTTTTGTGTGTGAGGCGGCGGCGAAGTGGAGTTTAATCGTGGGAGTGTTTGTTGCTCGAGCTGGTGTTGTTGGAGTGAGTTGAGCCTGATTGTTGAGATGCTGGCTTCGGTTTCTTGTTGGGAGTTGCTGCTTCTGATTCTGAGTGTTCTTCGGAGCTGTCACTTTGTTCTGTGGATTTCGTTTGGGTTGTCCACGGTTGTTTGTTGGGAAGAGCTTGGTGTAGAGCGATCAGCATTGGGAAGATTACTGTCTGCATGGTCTTCTGGTTGAGTGTGGTGAGGATGGCGTGGTCGAGAAGCTTGAGAAGGAGCTCGTGGAGATGATGAGCCACATTCACACGTTTGCCGTTGAGTAGAGCTCCATAGACTTCTG